ATATATAATTTCAACTTTCAATGTGTTTTGCTTTAGCGTATAATACATATTTTTCTTTTAAAAAAATTACTGGTTTGCATACAGTGATTTATTTACATTGTGTATCATTCATGTATGTTGGTTGGGTTTTTTTCACCTCCTTCCCCCACCCACCAAACTCTCTGACCCTGTGATTTCCCCCCTGCACCTTCTGTCTCCCCATCCCCTCTCCTTCCCTCTTTGGATATCCATTACACATCTTACTGGTTATCTTTCTGTTTTTACAATAAAACTCTTATACAGTATTTGTTCTTATGAACCTGAGTTAGTTCACTCAGCATTATGGTCTCCAGCTTCTCCAGTGTTAAATATTATTTTTCAGAATTGCTACTTCTGAGTGTTACATAGTATTCCATTGTGTGAATGTACCACAATTTCTTAATCCAGTCATTTTGTTGATGGACATTTGGACTGTTTCTATATTCTTGCTATTGTAAATAATGTTGCTCTGAACATCATTGAGATTTGTTCTTTGAGAGTTCTAATTTCTTTGGGGATAGATTCCTAGCATTGGAATAGTTGGGTCATATGGAATCTCTATGTTCAGCTCTTTGAGAAAATGCCAAACTGCCTTCCAGAGTGGTTGTACCATTTTACACTCCCACCATCAGTGTATGAGAGTTCCCACCTCTCCACATCCTTTCTAACATTTATTACTACTGTCCTGCTGAACTCTGCCACTGCTACTGTGGTGAGATGGTACCTCATTGTGGTTTTGATTTGCATCCCTCTTATTGCCAGTGATTTTTGAGCATTTCTTCATGTATCTGTTGGCCACCTGAATATCTTCCTCTGTGAAAGATCTTCCCATATCTTTTGCCCATTTTGTTATAGTTGATTTTTGTAAGTGTTCCATATATTGAATGCAGTGTGTTTATCTCAAGCAGATTGTGTTGTTTGAATTTATATCCTTTTTTAAGCTTGTTTTTATTTTTAATTAATACTTGAACAAAAGTTTACAGAAACCTTGGATTTCCATTGATTCACTGTTGCACGTTCCTCCCTACCCCCCCTTTTGCCTTGAATTTTTAATATACTTGTACTTTTTTTTTAAGAGAGCATTGATGGCCTAGAGGGTAAGGTGTTGCACTGCCAATTCAAAGTCAAGCAGTTTGAATCCACCAGCTGCTCCACAGGAGAAAGATGAGCAGTCTCCTGTCATTTACTGCCTCTGAAAATCTACTGAAGTTCTGACTTGATGGCAGTTAGTTTGAATTATAATTTTTTGTTTATCAGTACTGAGAAAAAAAGTATTAGAATTTCCCATGGTGGTAGTTCATTTATTAATTCTTCCCTCCAAGTCTCAGTTTTTTAGGAGTAATATTAGATAAATACATGTTCAGAATTACCACATCATTCTGATGAGTTGTTCCTTTTATTGTTTTATTTCCACTGATATATGTTTTTTGTTTGTTTGTATGTTTGTTTTTCCTTTCTTGTGTACCATCGAATCAGATCCAGCTGGCACAGGAGATTAGCCCTCCTTCTCCAGCAGAATATCTGGTGAACTTGAACAGTGCGCCTTGGGGATTACAGTACGGCTTCTTGCCACTAAGCCACCAGAGCTCCCTCCACTAATACTAATATATTTTTAAGCTTGCTTTTATGATCTTGTGGTAAGGAGTTGTGCTGCCAACCAAAGGCACATGGTTCAAATCCACCAGATGTTCTTTGACAG